TTCCCGCAGAGCAGGGAACCCGATGTGGGGCTGGATCCCAGGATCCTGGGATCATGACCTGAGCTGAAGGCAGATGCTTAACCACTGAGCCACCCAGGCACCCCTGGTCTGGTTTTTTTTTTTTTTTAATGAAAGGCCCCTAATGGAGTGTAAGTATCATGAGTGAGTGGAGACAATATAAGAATATGAAGATATGGCTTTGTGTCCCAACTCTGTCACTAAGTATATTGAGCACATTACTTACTATTTCTGGATCTCAATCTCTTAATATGTGAAAGGAGAAATTTGGACTATGTGACTAAGGATCTATGTTAACTGGTAACATCTTAAGAGTTCATGAATTTTATCTTTTTATTTTAAAAAATTGTAAAAAGCAGCAGGAAATTTACCATCTTAATTGCTTTTAAGCGTATGCTTGAGTGACGTTAAGTATAGTCACAATGTTGTGAAACAAATCTGCAGAGCTTCTTCATCTCACAAAACAGAAACTCTACACCCATTAAATAATAACTTCCCATTTTCCCTCCACCCCCAACCTCTGGTAACTGCCATTTTCCTTGCTGTTTCTGTGAATTTGACAGCTTTAGATACCTCCTGTAAGTGGAATCACGTAGTATTTGTTTTTTTGTGACTGGCTTATTTTACCTAGCATAATATTCTCAAGGTTCATCCATGTTGTAGCATGTGACAGGATTTACTTCCTTTTAAAGGTTGAAAGATATTCCATTGTGTGTCTATACCACACTTTATTTATCCATCAATGGACATTTGGGTTGCTTCTACCTCTTCAAATAAGCTCTCTCCCCCCTTCACCCTTCTGGGATTCTCATAATGCATATATTGGCCCACTTGATAATGTACCATAAATCCCTTAGGCTCTCTTCATTTTTCTTCATTCGTTTTTGTTTTTGCTCTTCCAAATCAATGATTTCAAATGACCTGTCTTCCAGTTTGCTGATTCTTTTTTCTGCCTAATCCAATCTTCTGTTGAACCCCTCTAACGAATTTTTCATTTCGGTTATTGTATTTTTCAGCTCCAGAGTTTGTTTGGTTATTTTTTATAGTCTCTGTCTCCTGGCTGATATTCTTATTTTGTTCATGTATCATTTTCCTGATTTCTTTTAGTCGTGTATCTGTGTTCTCTTTTAGCTTATTGAGCATCTTTATGACTATTATTTTAAATTCTTTGTCAGGTAGTTCATAAATCTGCATTTCTTCAAGGCTGATTTCTGCAGTTTTAATTTGGTCCTTTGATTGGATCAGGTTTCTGTTTCTTTGTATGTCTTATACTTTTTGCTGGGATTTGGGCATTTGTTTTTTGTTTTTTTTTTAAGATTTTATTTATTTATTTGACAGAGAAAGAGAGAGCACAAGCAGGTAGAGCGGCAGGCAGAGGGAGAGGGAGAAGCAGGCTGCCCGCTGAGCAAGGAGCCTGAAGTGGGACTCGATCCCAGGACCTCGGGATCATGACCTGAGTCAAAGACAGATGCTTAACCAACTGAGCCACCCAGGCGCTCCAAGGGATTTGGGCATTTGAAACAACAAACACCTTTCCCAGTCTTTGCATACTGGCTTTATGCAGGGGAAGACCACAGATCTACTGTCTGGGAGCTCTGGCACCTTTCAGACCTTTTATAATCTTGCGCCCCTTGGCATTTGCCTACAGAACTGCAGCTCTAACGTGCTGCTTGCCTCTGTTTTCAATAGCTTCCAGACTCTGGGACCGGTCCCATGAATGCTCCGAGTCTGGTGAGACAAAAACCAGCCCCTCAGGCAGCCCCCAGAGAAACCAGAACATTGCAGACATGGTCCACTCTTTAGTTTCCATCCCAAGGGAGGAGCCCTGGTATGGGGCTTCCTCCCGGTTGCTCTTTGCTTGCAGCATAGGGGGAGAGACACAAATGGGTACACTAACTGTCGCGGATATTCCTACCCCATTCACTGGAATCCCTTCTTGGTTTTACAATGGCCTGGGTGCTATAGCTTCTCAGCTGGTCTCTGGAGTTCTCATAGAGGTATTCTAGTCTATATATTGCTTTTAATTCAGTGTTATCTCTCAGGCAAGGAGGACCCATAGCTTCCTAGTCTGCCATTGTCTTAGTCTGCTTGGGCTGCCCTGACAAAATACCTCAAACTGGGTAGTTTAAATGACAGGAGTCTATTTCTTACAGTTCTGAAGGCTGGAAGTCTGACATCAGGGTGCCAGCAAGGCTGGGGTCTGGTGAGGGCTTTCTTCCTGTCTTGTATACAGCTACCTTCTCTCTGTGTTCTAACATGGTGGGGAGACAGCAAACTCTGATCTCTTCCCCTTCTTATAAGGACACTAATCCCATCATGGGGCCCTGGCTTCATGACTTCATCTAAACTTAATTACCTACCAAAGGACCCCTGTTCCAGATACCATCACATTGGGCGTTTGGGCTTCAACTTAGGAATTTTGAGGAAACAAAGCATTGAGTCTATAAGTCCATCTTGCTGACATCACTCCTGAAAAAATTTAAACAAAAATAGTCACCCAAATGCCTGGTTAACTTCTGATCTTTGTTATGCATGCGGTAAGTAATAATTCACACTGAAGCTGAAAATCACTTACCAAAACACTCTTCTGTATTTTAATTGCATCCAGCATTCTGTCTTAGCTCAGATGTTGAAATATGTGTAATAAAATAATATTGCTTGAAAACATACGTTTTACATAATTTCTTTCAAAATAAAAGGTTGCTTTTTAAAGTTGCAACATTTATGATTTGTATCAGGCTTTTAATAATGAAAAGAAGGAATGAATACTTCCAGAAGCAGACGCGGCAAAGACATGATCAAATGAACAAGAATCGAAGGGTAAGTACCAGGGCTTTCAGTTTTCTAGCAGAGAGTCTATGTAGTTTTTTAATATCATTTTCATTTGAAAAGGCTTTTCTTTTTGAAGCCACTTTCCTTCTAGTAATTAGTTTTGGCATCTGCATGTACTGATGATTACTAATACTTTCTTAAAACCTTTTTACCAACAACAGTGTAGGAAGAAGTCATGTATGTCACACATGTCAACATGAGTCAAGTGTTTCCAGCCTTGTAGTACAATTGCTTACAAAAGGTTCCTACTTCCATTACCCTCATCCTATATTACATTATTTAGCCTCTAAGTGGGCATTAGACACAAGGGAGATAGGATGATACAAATAAAACTTTTTTTTAATTTTAGAGATATTT